TGCACTGGTACCAAAGGTACCTTTATTTCTTCTTCTATATTCATAGTTGTATTATTTTCATTTTGTGTGTTGCTAGCCATAGGAATAAAATTCATATTTTCCTCATTTTCTTGGTTGTTGTTATCATTTTGTTGACCAGAAACACTTCTGGTATTGTATTTATGTTTTTTCTTATCTATATGAGTAAAAAGATAGAAAAATAACTTAGTTTTATATGTAACTACAGTGAAAAATTGTATTTCTCTACTGTAGGAATATTTGGTACAAGTGATTGATGGGAAAGCCTCCATATCCACTTCTATTTCTCCTTTTCTTTTATTAAAAATCTTTTTATTTTTGTTGACTCTTTATTTATCACATTATTGTTTTACACTATTATTTTATTCTTTGATACTTTTATCTTATTTTTGTATTGTTACCAACTCCATCATTATTGCAATTCATTTTTGGGAAGCCTGTCTCCTCTTGAATAATATTCTTTTTGATATTCTTTTATTTACGTTTTTTATTTTTCATTTTATGTTTTGAATCTTTTTTAATTGTTCACTTAATTGTTTTTAATTTTAACTCACTTAATAACATTCATTTTGTTAAATCATTATTATGAATTTGATCCTTGGGTAAGAAATTTGAATTTTATTTATATTTTATTTATATTTTTGTTCTTATATATAATAATGATGCCATAAATGCAACGAATATGAGATGGATTAAAATTTTCTTTTATGTTTGCTATTTTTTTATTGAATAATCGAAATCAATGAATTAATAATTTCTTTTGAATTAACATTGCAAATAAAAATGAAATTTCTTTATATTGCATTAAGCAAGTTTAAAACTATATAATTAATTATTTGGCTAACTGATTTACATTTCCAAATTTTGACTTGATGAACTTGCGAAAATAATTGAAACCAAGACTGAATTATTAGTGATATAAAAAACAGTTCTAACAATCCAGAAATTCAATAAACACTTTGATTTTAATTACATAAGCGAGTGTATAATTTTTTATTCAAGATTAAAATGGTGTGTTTAATTTTCTAATTACATTATACTATGTTATGTTATCATATTTTACTATAATTAAAATATATGCTAAATTTTAAATTTCACTTGTGATTGACAAGTATTTAATTAATATTAACTACCTGTTTGATCATTTGATTCTTGATATTTCCATCATTCAATACATATGAGTATCGTTAATGTCAATTAATTAATTGTAATATTTGATTTTAGATTTATAAGGTATAAATTCTCAATTAATAATGGCATCGATTTCAAAGGTTGTAACAAATAATGACAATCATAATATCAAAGCAGTGAGAATATGACAATCCCGGTAACTGGTAATAAAGAAGCATTCGCAAAAAAAAATTACACGACATGATAATTAATTTTTATTAACTATTTATTAATATAAGAAATATACAAGAACATATAAAGAGAAACAAATCAAAATATAAAGTCATAAACTAAAATTAAAATTAAAAAAATTTAAACGAAAATTAGGTTGTAAATTTAAAAATATAAAATAAAAAATGGCTCTTTAATATTCATCATGGTCGTGGAGCTTTCTTTTCTTAATAGGGATCATTGAAATTCGTGGGATTCTTAGTTCAACCTCTTCCATCGCATCCATTGCATCCTTTGCTTCCATTAGAGGCTAAAAAAGAAAAAAAATTATAAATTACTACATTTTGTTTAAATATAATAACGATTAAATAAATTATATAGACTTACTCGAAGAATTTCATCTACTTCTTCTAAAATCTTTTCCTTCGACTCTTTTATCTTCTTATCCTCCTCTTCATCTTTACCTTTTCTTCCTTCCTTTTGCTTAATTAAAACTTCCGAAATTGGAGGTGGTATGTCAAAGGTCACATTATTTTGCCTTGCATTAAACAAAGGCTTTAAAATAAAGTAAATTATAAATTTCTTATATTGTATTTAATATAAGATTACAATTAAGTTTATACTGAAAAAATGTTTGCCTGAAGAATTTCTTTAGTCGTAACCACCGCCATTCTCCTCTCCTCGTTAATTCTTTCTTGAACATCTTTGGATCTCTTTACAGAAATTCTCTTTTGAGGATCTTCGAATCCTTCCGATACTTGTTGTTCCATTTCTTAAAAATTATGTAAATATGGAATATTCGAAATTAACATTTAGTTGTTTAATAATTTTTTGTTGAAGGAACTATAATAATTATTAGATAAAGATTTATAAATTTATTTAACCTGTCAAAATATATTAAGATGGTATGTGGAAAAAAGAAAAGATAAATTATTTTTTTAATTATTATATTATATATCACGAGAAAAAAAATAATAAGAACATTCTAGCATTTCGATCAATCTGATATAATTTTTTTATTTATTATTACGTTACGCATTACTATATACAAAATGATTAGTAGTTGATAATCATTTAATAAAGCAAAATCATTAGTCTTAATCGCCTATCTAATCATTAGATTCTTATCATTCGATCCCCAGAAAATATACATAGAGTAATAGTATTTAATTATTTATTATTTTATAATAATTGACTAGGAACAATAAAGTATAAATTGGAGACAAGATGATAAGAATATTAAACCTAATTTTTGTTTTCGAATCAGTATATTTCAACCGTTACTCAACATTACTGTATAAGTCATGACTATTCACGTTGATATTTTATGATCAATTTTGACACCTATTTTTTCAATTTCTTTGACATCGACATTGTTTAATTAGTAATAATTATTACATCTAATTATTACATCGAATAATTATTACATCATTTATTATCTATACAATAGATAAACTTTGCATTTCAGAATCCAATCATTTAATGCCACCACTCTTTTTTCATCACAAGACAATTTATTTCAAGAAAAGATCTAAATTTTAAAATCTTTGTTAAAATATTAACTAAATAGCTCATAAAAATGTCTTCAATTAAAAAAATTTTCAAAAATATTTCGCCATGTATGAATATATTTATATTGTAGCCTGTTCTTTTTAAAAACATGTATTAACTTTCAACTCTTAAACTAATTTTACAGTCCATGATATAAATAAGCAAAAAGAAAAAAAGGAAAGAAAGTAAAACTAAAAGATCAGAGAAAGTTGAAAGTGAAGGAAGAGACAGTAGTTGCTAAGCAGTTTTGTTGTTGCCCTTTATTGAATACCTACTTTTCTATCTCGATAAGTTGCAAAAAAAAACGTAAGTAATAGGTTACAATATAATTTTTTTATAATTGTTCGTAAAAACGTAAGTAATAGGTTACAAAATAATTTTTTTATAATTGTTTGTAACAGTAATCTAATATACTAATTATATTTATGGTTATATAATATTATAGGAAGTGAGGTTGGACGACATTGCTTTTGGTGATCCAAACCAACCCGAATTGTGGTTTTGAACCACGGGAAAGATGTGTAATTTTTAATGAGAATGAAAAAGAAGGTTGAGACTTGGGGGACCTGAAGTTCGTGAATTTAGGGAGAAAGAAACTGGAGGATAAAAGTTATGAAGATGCTTAAAAAAAGTAGTTACATAGTTGGGAGAACGTGATGTCTATTGAGAAGAAATTTAATTATGTAAATATTTTGCTATTAATAAAGTGGATATATATTTGTTGTTTTAAATTTATGAACGAAGTTTATAAGTGAAATTTGGAAGTTGTGAATTTTATGATGAGCGAAGATTATAAATGAAATTGAGTTATGAAAGTTATGAACAAAGTTAAACAAAGATGGGTGAAGTAGAGCGAAGTTGTGCATTAATGTAAGTAAATCAACTTTCATTTTATTATTATCAATGTTCTTTATTTTTTAAAATTTTTCCTAATTTAACTAAAAATAATATAGATCGAAGGTGTACTATATTGCTAAAATATTATAGGTAAAAATGCGGCCAGTTTGACAATCCGCAACTTTCAGCACAGATAATTGTTTGTTTGAAATAATATCATAAAATATCTCATCATCGTGAACCACTTTTAGAAGCTTATATTGATGGCAATGATCTCAAGCAAGCTAATGGACTCATGATCAATATCAAACTGTATTTCCACTGTGGAGACAATTGGCAAACATTTTGCTTTAGAAGCACTTCATAAAGAAAGAAATCAATGATATAGTGGCTTTAATTCTATCATAGTCGAGATGTTCACCTGAGGAGGAGTCATCAATCTTGATAATTGAGGTTTACACCTAATGTTGATCTTCATCGTGGTGTAGAAACGAAACTTATAATGCAGCTGAAAGTCTAAGGTCAACTTGGTTTAAATGTTTGATTATTGTAGTAGAAAATAACAAAGAATTATCGAGAAAAAGTAAATGAAAAAAGTTAATCAATGATATGATCCAAGAGATCATTCTTTAATGTTGTTAGTTTAGATTTTCTTGACACATGACTATTGTTTTGAACTTTCATTTCGAGAGAAATTTGAAACTTAGAATAAGATGAATCAATTGAAATTTATAAGGATTATTTCTTAATTTATAGATTAAAGTCTTAAACCTCCGGAACTGCTATTATCAATTATTCAGAAAATTAAAATTCATTCAATTTTAAGTATTCATCTTATTTGTTTATTTATTTAATTTAACTAATTAGATTTTATTAGTGAAAATTTTAATAGTAATAAGATGGTATAATGATTTCAATTAGAAAGTAATATATGTTAGCTGCTGTAAGTCCGGAGCTATTTAATATTATTTCTGATTGGCTACATGTGATCGTGTGGGTGGTAGGACAAATTTTTCTGTGTATGGTCATGTTATTAATGAATATTAGTGATCACGCGAGTGACAAATTTGCTTGTATACATGTAAGTCCATCGCTCGAGACAATCAACGGAAAATTAATTAGTATAAATGTTGTGTAAAAAGAAGAGCCAATAAATCAACATATAAATTGTAGACCATTTTTATCAATATGATATTATTAAAATTTTTGTAATTTTTCATAATAATCATATATAATTACTAAGAACTTTTTAAATGTTTTATGATTATGCATATAGAATTTTTAAAAATTGTAAAATAACAGATAAAATGAGCCTTTATTTATATTATAAAATAGATTGAAAATTTATTAACTAACTAAACTAAATAATTGAAAAAACAATTGAGAGAAATAACTGAAAGAAATTATTGAAATAATTGAAATGATTGGAACATACAAGAAACCAATCCCTACAAATCTAAAGTAAACAACACGATCATTCATATATCCCATCTGTTACAGCCTTGTTACACGCTTCTACTATCATCTTAATATCATTTTGTAATTCATAAAACATTTTAATTTCTTCTTGACATTTCGAATCATCCCCATATAATTTCTTAATTCTTTCTAATTTCGTTTGATGAATATTTATAGAGTCAGAATCATTTATTTCAGTTCCGATCTCATCAGCTTTCGCGACATATAAGTTCAAAGATCTTTTGATTTTGTTATATGTCTTCATTTGTTGTTCAAAGAGTTCGGATAATTGCTGATATTCCGTTAACGTTTCAATTTTATATTTATTAACCGTAACGTCATCAGCAGATGTTGTTTTAGTAGCAGTATATGAGGTGTTTTTCGGTATCCCATCTTTTGCCGCCTTGTTACACGCTTCTGCTATCATCTTAAGATCATTTTTTAATTCGTATATTTTTTTAATTTCTTCTTGACATCTCGTATCATCCCCATATAATTTCTTAACTCTTTCCAATTTCTTTTGATGAATATTTTTAGAATCAGAATCATTTATTTCGGTTCTGATCTCATCAGCTTTCGTGACATATAAGTTCAAAGATCTTTTGATTTTGTTATATGCCTTCATCTGTTGTTCAAAGAGTTCGGATAATTGCTGATATTCCGTTAACGTTTCAATTTTATATTTATTAACCGTAGCGTCATCAGCAGATATTGTGGTAGTATTTGAGGAGGCATTTTTCAATTTTCTACGTTTCTTTAGAATGCGAAGTGGAATATCTTCTTCGGAATCGTATGAAGAGGTGTCGTTTAATTTTCTTCGCTTCCTTAGTTTCCTAAGTGGAATATCTTCTTCGGATTCATAATTATCATATCCTTCCCTACATTTACTATTCGCAGTTTCTTTATTCAACTCCTTCTCCATCTCCTCTTCTAATTCTTTGCACACTCTTTCCAATTCTTCCCCTTCAATTATTCTTGTATCTAAAACCTCAGCCCTGTTTCCACTACCCCTTCTACCACCTCTACTGCCTATTCCACCTCTTCCGCCTCTACTACCTTTTCCACCTCTTCCACCTCTACTACCTCTACCACCTCTTCCACCTCTACTACCTCTACCACCGTTTCGCCCACCTCTTCCGCTTGTTGATACCGAGTTAGTTTTATTATATTTCATGTCTAACGTTTTATTTGAATAATATATTGTGTACTTTGAATTTTTTGAATAATTTATTGTTATTTCGAATGTTTAGGTATACTGGGATGCGCTTGATGCTATTTCTTTAAAGATTTGAAGGAATTTTTTTTTGGTTGAAAAAAGGGGGGAGTTAGGGTTTTTTGAAATGGAAATTTTTTTATGTTGATCAATATTATATTAACTGATGTCATAATTGATCAAAATCATGATACTCCCTGTACTGTCAAACAAAAGATCAATTGTAATCATTAATTTTATCATAGGTACTAATGGGTTATTAATATTGTAATACATTAGGATATGATATTTATCACCCTGCTTCACACCCTTCGAATTAAAAATAGAAATATCATTTTTCAATTATTTGTTTGATAATCACATGATTTTGTTATTATATAGATCACGTTCAATTCTATATTAGTTGCATCACGTTTTTCAAAAATTAGTCTATCAAAAAAATACCTTTGCATTGGTCAGAACAAAGCGTAATATTAAGTCACGAGTTCTGATAATCGCAGATAGTACTGTACGTTTTAAAATGATATTTTTTATTTCCTCCTCCTCCTCTCCATTATAGCAATAAATTTCAAGAAATTTTCTTGAAACTATTAAAATTAAGATAATAAATGGCCAATAGTTCAAGTGATTCTTGGCCATATGAAATAATGAAAATCTTCTAATTCGTAAAAATTATTAATTAATATTGATGGAAAATAAATCTAGACAAATGTTTTTGAATTTATATTGGTTATTAAGAGAATTTTTATAATAAATTCTTAAATATCAACCACAAATTTTGAATAGGAACTTAATTGAGTAAATGACGAAGCAAAGAATAAGAAATCTGATTTATGCTTCTTGAAGTGAAATAATTTGTTTAATTGGTGCCTCGAATTGATAATTTATATTAATTTTAGCAGTTATAATTATCAATATGACGCAGTCTGATTACAGATTATTTTATTATAATTAAATTTGAACATATTGAATTGGGGTTTTAACAATCTTAAAATCTTAATGTAACTAATATTGAACTACAAGATCTTAACAGATTGTTGGAAAAGTGACTGTGTAATCTGTGGATAATCCATGTAATAAAGAGATCAATTATGACATCAGCTATCGTCTTTTTACTATTTTGATTCCTGTGTAATTATTAATAATTTGGATTTAATATTCTTTCAGAATTGTTGTAATAATTACATCATATACAAATGATCACAGAAAAAAATCTTGCATCTTGCATTTCAAAACCCAATTACATTTTTCAAAAAAAAAATTCAAATCTTATAAATCTTATCTTCTAAAATTTTAATCTTAAGAAAAAAAGTCGAACATATATAAATATCTAACACGATATCAATTTAAATTTTCAAAAACCTATTCGTCAATATTAATTACCATGAATAAATCTACTGAAATTAATGGAACCAATATAAAAATTCAACCAACTATAACTCTCCGAAGAGGCAGGAGCAAAGGGAAGATTAATATAACAAATGAAACACCAACCAACATAAATTCTAAAACAAATAATGCCAGCACTTCTGATTTTAATGGAAATAATGTAAATAATACAAATACTCGACCAATTATAACCCTTCGAAGGGGCAGGAGCAAAGGAAAGATTAATGTAACAAGTGAGACACCTGCCAACATCAATTCTGATATCAATTATGCTGGTACTACTAATGGAGCCAATGTAAATACTACAAATGCTCAACCTACTATAACTCTTCGAAGAGGTAGGAGCAAAGGAAAGATTGATGCAACAATAAATGAAGAGTCATCAACTTCTTTAAGAAAAAGAAAGGCAACTGAAAATGAACATCAACCAAAGCAAAAACGTGGCCGGGGAAGGCCACGAAAAAACATTCAACCCATTCAACCTCAACTACAACAATCATCAGCACAACAAAAACGTGGCCGAGGAAGGCCACGAAAAAATAAAACGATACAACCACAACCGCAACCACAATCGCAATCACAACCACAACTACAACCAAAACTTGAACCACAACCCGAATCACAAGCCCAACCTGAACCAAAACCCCAACCCGAACTACAATCAAAACCCCAACCTCAACCTCAATCACAACCAATATTCAGAAGTGGTTATACTGGTATATTTGGATCGGGGACTAAATATTCCAATACATTAATGGAAAGATTAAGCTCACAAAAACAGAATGCATCAATTTTTGATGAGCACCCCGCACAAAATGGCGAAGATAGTGAGAATGATAAGGTTGTGAAAGATGAAGTCTCTTTTGGGACAAGAGCGCAAACTTTATTACGGGAACAAGAAGGTGATAACAACAAAAAAAAAATCAATAATAATATAATAATAATAATAATAATAATATCAGCAATATATTATAACATTAGTAATAACAGTTAAATTTTGTTGTATCAATTTCTTTAGTATCAACTGGGGAAGAAAACGAGATTACTCGAAATTCTATTAGGGCGAAATTATATTGTTTGGAAGGTCAGGAATGGAAAGAAAGAGGAGTTGGAATCCTAAGACTGAATTATTCAAGAAATAATGAAAATTCTCCCCGATTAGGTAAACTTTAATATATTGATTATTACAATTCTTTTTACTGACCATTATTTTATTATTAACATAATATTTGATTAAAAAAATTATAAAGTTATGCGTACCGAAAACGTTTTTAAAGTGATCTTAAATGTTGCATTATTTCATGAAATGCATGTTGAAAGAGCACAAGAGAAATTTGTAAGAATCTCTGCCTTTGAGGATAAGCTCGTTCATCTAGCTATTAAGGTTTGTAATTTGTGTTATTTTGGAATTGTGTTTTTTTTTTATATATTTTTATTTATTATATTTTATTTTATTAGTTATATACCTCCAATGAAGCTGATGAATTATATGAAGCCATAATGGATGCAATCCCTCCAGCTCAAAATCAACCACTTCCTATAGTAACTTCAGAAATGTCATTTTGAAGTAGTACTTTTTTTATTATGGTTATTGAATTAATTTGGTATTATGTAATAGAATTCTTTTATAATGTCAGTTTTAAAAACGCGTGACATTTGTTTTTTTCTTATTATTCGTTTATTATTTTTCTCTTATTTTACTTATTTTACTATTCAATAAATATATCTGTCTTTTTTTCCTTTTTCTAGAACTAATATACACTATTTCATAGAACTAGCAGTCTTTTATTGGAAATTCTTTAATAAATCAATGTGATTAGGAATAAATTACCATATTATATTGTATTCTAATAATTGTGGTCATGCGAAGATGTGCTTTAGGGTGAAAAAATATACATTGGAAAGGAAAGCAATCTTTAACAAAAATATATTTCTTACATCGATAAAATTCAAAAATATAAAATAAATGATTCATTGATAAATACATGATAATATGTAATAATTATGTACCTTTTATCCAAAGATTGATTCTATTTCTTAAATTTAAAGAATGGAGTCTATTAATTAAAATTCACAAACATTGTATTTCTATTATTAACAAAATTCCAAATTATTGGTTTCGATGATTCAAAATTCCTAAGAATTAATTTCCATCCAAGAAATATTGTTCATTTGATTATATAAAAGTTTTAACGAATCATTAATAGGTTCATTAATTAAAATTGTTAATTGATGGTTCATATCTCATTATTTAGAATTTTTAGAATACAATAATGATTTCATTTGATTTATTATCATAATAAATTAATTAATCAATTTCTTATGTAATATATTGTCTTGATTTCAATAAAAGATTCGCCAAATCAATTTATTGGAGATTTAATATTGAATGAAACATTATTATATTAATTTAATATTATTTAGACAATAACAAATTTATTTAATTAATTAATGACTGTTTAATAATCAATCTAGATTATTAGTTTAAACGATTGCATGAATTTCTACATTAATTACATTATTTTAACATTAGTTGCTGATGGTTGAAACAATTTCTACAATTTCTTATTCTTCAAAATATAAATTAACCTTTTTTATTTCCAAATAAATAAATAATAAACGAATGAATTATTGTTGGAACATAGCGAAGGAGTTCGTAAGGTGATACAATGATATGAAAGTTACATTTTTGGTGCACAGCAAGAAAAATGTCAAGAAAAATAACCTTGGAAAATAAGGCCTGCCCGATTTTTTTGATAATGATTATTAGATAACATTGCAACAATATTACGGACTTGTGTAATGAATCTAGAGCTATCCAATAATTTTTGTGTGTAATGCAATGTGATCGTAGATCCAATAAATTTGTGTAATATAGTGTAGACTAACATCTAGCTTTTTTTTTATTTCAAATATATAACGTCGACACTATATAAATATCCGAACCTGCTAAATGGCTGAATCGATATATTAGTGTTAGTATTTAGTTTTTATTATTAAAGATCTAAATTTTATTTAATATTTAAACGATGCAGCCACGTTGATTGAGTGAGGTAATATAATTAGTGTAGATTATTTTTTGTGTAATATATATTAACATCTATTTTTTATTTCAGATTACGTAATAGAAATGTTGGAAACGGCAAAACGATATTATATTATTTATAAATAGTGATCTTATTACTAAAGATCTAAAATTTTTTTTAATTTTAAATGATACTTTAATAATATTATGCTCATTAAAGTAACATTCAAACACTTTTTATTTTTTAATAAGAACCCAAGATTGATGCATTCGAGCACAGCTTCTTTGAGTGTTATTTCTAATGCAAGTGTTGCTCTATTCTCCAATTTTCTGTGGTTAGGAATATAATACTGTATGTGATAAGGTTCATTTTTTAAGGTTGTGAGGGTATAATAGGAATCTGAGTTGCGTTGTGTGGCATGATTAAATGTCATTATTTCATCCATCGGATAATTTATTTTAAAGATTTTAAGATAAATATAAAATGAAATCTTACAAATAGCATCTAACCGTCCAGTAAAATAAACTATTTTGCCACCAAGTTTATAGAATAAACTCCTCGTACAAAATCTTTTTCGACTATCATTTCAGAAGAAAATGCTGCATAAATTTCTAAATGGATTGACTACAAGGAACGAAAACTTCATATAATATTCCATATAAATTTGAATAAATCTTACATGGAACTAAAATAGATTTGCAAGCCGCTGAAACAGATGCGATTGTAGGTTATAATCTACTGGCCTGAGATAAAAGTAAAATTGATAAATGTATGAAAACAAAAGATAATTACATTTTCTCATTAAAAAATGAAATTCAATTCTTAGCAGTTTAAAAAAAAATTCTGTATACAATTATTAATGTATCCAAAAAGGATCAAAATGAATAGGTCTTTGTTTAGGTGATTTTGTTATGTATAGTCGTGAATCTAATTTCACTTTACATGCTGGTTGTTTGGTGAGCGTCTATTAATAGCCATCATCAAATAAATTTTCAATCATCAACAAGTGGTCTAGATTAGGGGTGCTTTGCACTTATGATATTTAATTTAAATTCTATTTCAGTACTTATTAAAAGCAAAGCAATCTTTATATTATATTTGTGCAAAATATTGAAGAACAAAAATTCAAACCAGATAGAAGTTCAACCTATATACAATTTTTTATTCACTTTTTAATATTCACCAATCCAATTGTGCTAAGTGCTAAAGACTGTTTTCAACTTTCCATATCCATACTGAATATTTAAAAGCAGAAAATATCATTTGAGTTTTGATAATTTAATGAAAATTAAATTTATGCTAGAATTTAAAAATTATGAAAGATACAATCATTAAACAGAATATTTCATATATTGATGCATTTTTTATATATGATAAAAATTCTGAAAATAAATTTATTATTAATGATGAAAAAGCCCACACTTGATATAGAAAATATTTATATCCGGATGGATGAATATTAGAAAGTTTCAAAATTTATTACAATAAATAATTTTTTTAATAATTTAGTCGGAGAGATGATTTAAAGTTTAATTAGAAATTTACTATATTATATTAAACATTTATCTCCCATTTAATTATTTAGATTTATTTATTATAATTATATGATAGTTTATTTAATTTAAATATGCAAGATTATTTCACATGAACATTTTAATTATGCACGAATAAAAATTGTGAACCTGATCCGTCTTGTTTGTAATATATTAATATTAATGAATTGAAATATATTGATTCAGCAAAATAAATTCAAAAGTTCTTCTTTACTATGACCCGCAATTTTTTAATGAAATCACGAAACCAATAGAACATTTAAACTTAACATATGTATTAATTTGTTTAAATAATCAAATATAATTGAAAATAAGAATGTACAAAATTTAACAAATAATTATTATTTTAATAAAAAATAATAAAAATAACAAAAATTTAGAAAGATAAATATCCGATGGATTGTCTTTTTACATCATATGCTTACTGCTTAGTAGGCTGCTGCCCGAAAATTCATCTAATACTTTCAACTATCTAATGTAATATATATTGATGAGTATAATAAAAATTGATATCGCAATTAATTGTCTTGTGATCCAAAAAAAATCAAGGATTTCCATATTATATCAACAAATCTATTGTGAAACCAAAAATTAAGAATCTTAATGAGAATATTATAGAAAAAATTTTGATATCTTCCAACCTTTATCTACTGGCCAAAAATGGATTTTGGACATGGATTTTGTAAAAAAAAAAATTCTAATAATTATTGATTATTAGTCTGATGCAATCATTAGTTATTATTAATAATTAATCTAATGTACTCAAGCTGCTAAATTACTAAATTAGATTGACTGGCTAATGAATTTTTTTTTATCCAAAAAAAAAGTATAAGAAATATAAAGAATATGCAATAACTTTTTTTTTAACAATAAAGTAATAAAATATTTATTGGTGAGAAACAAAAAAAGTATAATAATATAAATCGTCATTAATAAATTAGGCGTTGGGCTGAGGCGAAAAAATAATTGATCCATTTGATATTATCTTTTTACAATCTTCATTCTACTGGCCAAAAATGGATTTTGAACATGGATTTCGCAAAAAAAAATTTTGCTAATAATTATTGATGATATACTCATACTGCTTAATTGCTAAAATTAGATAGACTGGCTAATAAAGTTTTTTTTTCAACTGATATAAGAAATATAAAGCATATGTAATGACCTTTTTTTTTTATAATATTAAAGTAGTAAGATATTTATTGATAGGAAACAAAAAAAAAAAAGTATAAAAAAAGGGGGAATAGAAGAGATTCGTGAAAAAAATTCAATCGAAAAAAATCCCAAATTTCTAAAATTTCAATTCATAATTATATTAAAACAAAATTTTAAAAGAAAATTCAATCAATTGTTATATTAAGACAATATTTTAAGAGAAAATTCAATTCATTGTTATATTTAAACAAACTTTTTTGCAAACGAATTTTAAAAATGGATTCATCAAGCCAACAACAACAACAATCCCAACAACAACAGCAACAACAGCAACCTCCATTAGTAATGGAACAACTTAAGTTGCCAAAAAATTACCATCAATTTAAAATCGAAAATAGACAACAAAAGGTACAATAGTTCATTTTCGGAATTTAAATTCATTTCTTTTTTCATTTTTCACGTATTCTATTTTTTTTATAGCTGCAACAAAAGCAGCGAGCACAACAATATAATCCGATTGGGGTATTACAATATCATAAAGTAATTATAAGAATGTGTCAAAGAAGGTTGCAACAATTAAATCAGCAACCACAGCAACAGCAACCACAACAACAACAACCACAACAACAGCAACAGCAACAGCAATTTAGTATTCAAGAATACTTCCAACCTCCATTAGTGAGGGAACAGCTTAAGTTGCCAAAACATTTCCATCAATTTAAAAACAAAAATAAACAACAAAAGGTATATAAGTTCATTTTCGGAATTTAAATATCTTATTTTATTCAATTTTTCACTTATTTTATTCTTTTTTTTTATAGCCGCAACAACATAATCCTATTGGGGTATTACAATATCAAGAAAGGATTAGAAGAATGTGTCAAATAGGGTTGCAACAATCTAATCATCAACCACAACAACCACAAAAACAGCATCACCCAAATCCTAAAAATAACAATAATAATGATAGCAATGATTATAATAATAATAATAATAATAATATCAATGATGCTGATAACAATAATTATAATAATACTAATAATACTAATAACAATGATGACGAGAATACCGATAATAACAATGATATAAATAATAGCAATAATATTGCTTTCGAAAACAATGGAAATAGTGATAATAATACTAATAATAGTAATAATAACAAGAGGGGTCGAGGTAAGCATATTTTCTTTATATATTTATATTTTTTTAAAAAAATTTCGATTATATTAATTTATTTTTTAATTAGATAACGATGATGATGACAATCATGTTGCTGTTGACAATCATGCCTTAAAGAGGCAAAAACTTTAAAGTGGTTTCTTTATTATTAATTACTTTGAATTTTTTTTTACATATGTTCGATTATATTTTTTTCAATGTATAAATTTAGATAAATAAATAAATGTAAATATAAATATAAGATGGTTATTCCTTTTGTAATGTGAATTAAAAAATTAATCTAATTCAGTTTCATTCAAAGATCTATGAATAACAATCGTAAAGAAATTTTTTGTTATTATATTATACTTCTTAGTTGCGTATTAAAAATTATAATGTTGGAATTTGATTTATCAACAATAGAATATTATTATTTGTTAAAAATAAATAATACAGATGACATTAATATTATCCAGAATCATTGTAATATATTATTAATAAAATCAAATGTAAAATCCCAAGTTGATCGATTTTAAAAGAAGCTAGAGAAGGAGAAATATTTAATGAACGATGTAAATGTTTGGCTGATGCATTAGTATAAAGATTATGTGATTTTACTTTATTATTTATGATGAATGTATTACGGGTTCATATGGTTTATTTTATTCATGCACTAATAAATAAATCAATTCGAGAAAATAATATACTATGAATTATATTTAATATGTAAGAGAGTGGAATATATAAAAAAAAATGATCGAAAAATACATAAAAAATAATAAAGAAATAAGAAATAAGAAATAATGAAAAGAATTTTTTTAAAAACAAACATCAATAATTGTGATTCCCGATAATACATCGCAATTGTGACCAAATTAATCAAGAATTGTTATTTAATTAAAACATTAATATTAACAGTTTTAATAGTGATAATTTAAATAAATACTAATTATAATAAATAGATGTAATTGTAAATAAATTGATTTTTGATAATCAAAGTATTCACTCAACAGATATAAAATTTATAATATTAATTTGATAATTAACGAGAGAAGCAATTTCTAGTTGAGGTTGAAATCATTTGAATTTGTTTCAATTGATTATAAATATAATACTCAAATTATATATTTCATGAAAGTACGTATAGCATCGTTATAAGCGAAAGAATGTTGAAATTTTTTTAATTCTTGTCATTAATAAATAAATCAATTCAATTTTTATCATTTAATAATAAAACTATTATACTTATTATAAATGAATATTTATGATCAATTATAATATCGTTTCGTATAATTTTTAGAGTGTAAAAATTAATGTAAAATAGCAAGTTTTTAAAGTGATAGTATAAAGTTTAGTTGAATAATATAGAGCATTAATTATTTTCAATATTTCTTTCAATTTTTTTTAAAATTATTTTGTGTAGTTAGGTAATAAATTTTTATTCATTAAATAATAATATAAACAAACGCTTGTTTTATCTGAATATTTTAAAATTTGGTTTATTTTTAAAAATTCTATTTTCAACTTGACCAAACATGTAACGCACTCTAGATTTATTGAAATAGTCGGAACATGCAAATAAAAAATTTAGAAAGAATTTTTTAAGGAACATTGTGATGTTCAAAAGTTCCCACCTTGCAAAAAACAATTTATTAAGAGCGAATTGTTTTATTTAATTTTTATTTTTTACTTAGACTCAAGTTCAAATGTTAATGATGATTAAATTTAAGTAATATATACGTAATGAAACTTTTTCCAAAAATAACAACCAATAAATTAAAAAATTATCATTAAAGTTTGACTCCGATGAAAAAAAATAAAATAAAGCTTTATTTTCATAATTTAAGAAAATTTTTATAATTTAAATCATTTGTTTTTAATTTTAATTAATATAAAATCTGCATACATTTAAAATTCAAATCAGTATAAAAATTCATATTACAAAAACATTTGCATAAAAATATATTTGATAATAAAATAAATATAAATATTAGATTTTTATTCCAATTATGATGATGAAAGAATAAAATAGTAATAATAATAATAATAATAATAATAATAATGATAATAATAATAAAGTGAGTAGTTAATCAGATCGCCAAGTTAAATCTATATAGATATCCATAAACTAATTTATATAATTATTTTATTTTAAACCCCCACCAACACAAAAAACATAGATTATTATAACTATTTTATTAGATCGATCGAAAATATTAGATGCTCACAGCAAACATTTCAATGAAGACAGTAAATTGTCACCGAAGCATTACAATTAAGTGTAACAGCTAAAGATCATACAGAGAATCGGACTTAGATGTTTCAGTGAGCCTAGATATCTGTAGAAACTTGGCATGAGAAGAAGTTGGAAGATGAAATATGAGGTGGACAAATCCCGTTGCTTCATTATTCCTTTGTTTATAGTCATTATGTATATTGATCATCTTTTGAATTTCGGAATATATTCGTATATTCTCTTCACATTCCTGGTATAAATTCCAATCATTAAAAAAAAAAATCTCTTGTTATATCTTAATATATCTTATATTTATTTTCTTTTTATTTGTTTATATTTTTCTAATAAAGTTTTTTTTTTACATATTTATGACAGTAATAGGATAAAAGATCGAGAAGAGAGCAATTTTTCATTGAGATTGTTAAATGGATGAGTTAAGAAACAATTAATTAACCATTCATGTTTATATTAAAAACAAATTAATTACCGAAGAAAATAAAATGTGAAAATCAAAATCGAAAAATAAATGAAAGAAAGGGGCCGTTGTAAGTCCGGAGTATGAATTTTGTTTATTAAAAAATAAAATAAAGATTATTTTTACCGCATGGATAATCTTTTAACATGTAACATCAGTAAACATCTGTTAATACATGTAATACGTGACAGTAATGACCTGACTGTACAAGCAACCAACCAATTTCTCGAACAGAATTCATGTGATGGTATCTACCACAATATGTCGTAAAATAGAATGCCATTCGCTTTGCTCTGGACAAAAAATACAATACTTTTTTCATCTCTCACACCAATCAACATAAACTTATAATAATTATTTAGATTATTTAGATTGTACTAATATTGATTGACTGTATATTTAAATTGCCCTTTTTTCATTTTTTTGAAATTTAATAATTAACTTCGAACAAAAATGACTTTTATAATCAAAAAAATTAACAAAATATCCCCTGGTAAGAATAAAATATAATTCATTTATTATTTTTAATGCTTTTTAATAAAAAAAAAACTTTAAAATTAATTGCTAAATTATATATTTTTAAAACTCCAGAACATGTTATGAGAGAAAAAAAAGAAAGAAAAGAGATGGAGAGGTTGAAAAGGGAAAGAATATCAGCGAAGGAGGGAAAGAAAATTAAAGGCAGCGGTAGTTGAATATCCAGAAGAGGAGATGAAGAAAATTTATATTAAATTCAGCCACCAGGAATACAACTACCCTGTGGGGCTGTCAACAGATAAGAGACGTATCTTTTAACATAAGTTAATCAATATTGTAAGTAAAATATTTTTTATAATCAAAATAAATTAATAATAATAACAGATAATAAGATTATACTAATTCAGATTTTTTAGGAGGAAGAAGAAGGCGAAACAGAGAGAAGATGAAATTCGAGAATTTAAATCAAGAGAATCTAGAAGAGAGAAGTGATGGATTAAGTTTTTCAAAATTTGAGAAATCGAATGTATCTTCTGACAAAATGTTTCAAGAAATAGTCATACCAATATCATCAAGCCAGATCGCGTTGAAGTAAAGAGGAAGAGAAAAATAATTGTTGTAATTTTGAGAATTCTTGTCAGTTTTTCATTGTGATTGAACTATTGCAAAGAATATTTCAGAATCAGGTAAGCTGGTACAAGCTTACAGCTAAAAAAATACGAATCACCTAAAGAAAGATGTCTAATTAATGGTTTGAATTAGTAATAAATTCTTTAGATACTTATTTTTTGCAAATAGATATAGTATATAATATATCAAAGAAAAATTGATTAAAATGTTACTAAATATAAACCTGGAGCAAGAACCTAATGATCTTCGAGAATCTCTCATCTATTTAGAGCAAGATTTGTGGATGGCTTGTGCGAATTTTGAATATCTAGAAGAATATTGTAGAGACAAGATCGATAATGCATATTTCCAAATAGAATTGGGCGGGTAAAGAGGGACTTGGTTGAAAGACTTTGTATGATGGTGTATACGTACAATCTAAAAGAAGATTAATTTTAATGATAATAATAATTTTGTTAAAGATTAAGATATGATATTCTATATTACGACAAGATTATGTTATTGTTTCTACTGTTGTGTCTGTTATATAATAAAATCCCAAGTCGATATGATAAATATTTGGGCTATAATCTCGCAATAGCGTTTTCAGTTTCATCACTAAGGAAGTCCATACTCGAATTATAACATTGTATTTTTTTCTGATCGTTATATTAATTATTTCATCAACAGTAAAACCTTTCAACTTTGAGCACGATTCTGCAATAATAAAAATTTAAAAATTGGATATTGGGATTAAATTTTCCAATTTCATGTTTAAATTCATTAGTGATCTAACTTTTACCTCCACCTATTCCTAGATATCTTAGGCTGTGACATGATCTCGTAATTTTACAGATTGACTCAAACCTCAACTAATTTCTGCAGTATTATCAGAATAAGTATAACAAAGATGAATTATGCCATACATAAATTAAAATCTAGATTATCTATTTCCTTCTGTGATATCACAGCTCAGTGCACAATTGTATCAAGTCCCATATTGATAAATCTACCGCGCATTATAATTACTATGAATAATAATCATATGATCCTCAGTTAGCGGTTAATCATAAATATGCAGTTATATAAATAATCTAATGCATGTACAATATGAATCTATCGGCCATAACTAAATTACGTACGACTTCGAACAAGAAGTAAAGAAATAATGCCATCGATCAATCCAATTTTCCACACAAAACAATGACATTATTAATCCGATATTTTTTTTACTCGATATATTCATGTCTGTGAATTATAATATCGGGATATCTTGGATATCTTGTCAATGGAATTTAACTCAGGAAGAATTATATATTTTTCTCACTACTATTTTGTGTTTACGCGAAGTAGCTCCAACTCTTATTCCGATTCCGGTTGATCGAACTGTATAAAAACTTGAACGGCTTTCAATAATGAAATAATTAAATTCGTTTCAAGAAGTGGAGGTTTGTGAGTTTGGTCACTATTAATTTTTTACGTGATATCTGTGCCCGCAGTTTGTCATTTATTACCGTGTGTCACAACTTTTGAATATCAATTTAATTAAATATCCAACATTTGTTACCTTCATTTATCACATGAATCTTGCATGTGAATTGATTTTGAGCACCTCAAAACTAAATTCGGAGGGCGGAAGGTACACAGTATAAGAATCTGCGGCCAGTGCGTAGAATAAGGATCCTCAAAAAAATTTGCAACTCGCCGCATGAATCATATATGTAATCCTTTCATGGTATGAAGGTAAATGAGGGTAAATTTACCAATCTTAAAACTCCAGTTCACATAGTTCATATTAAAGGAGAGAAAGATAGAAGAAGGAAAAAAATACCAGAGAGCATAGATATCTTTTGTAGACGTGACGTGATGTTTTTCTTTCACTGAGTTACAATATATATCAGGAAAATCAACAAGGCGACTAACGTATGTACATACATTAGCCATGAAATATTGTATGACCATTTATGACTTACTATTTTTATCAGTTCACTCCCCTTAGAATTTTTTTCGTTGTTTTTCACATAAGAAATTACCACAAAGAAATAATGCTATCATCAAAACTATAGTTAGTGCAAATACTGTTATATTATACATATATTAACACATTTTTTATGTCCATCTTAACCCAGAAAGTTCAAGAAGAACGACAGCTAGTGTTGACGCAAGCGAGAGTTGATGATAGAAATTGTATGTACAAAGTATCATGGAAAAGTATTCTTGCGTCATTGTGTTAGTTTTTATGTTGTAATATGTTGTTTTCTTTATATCTGTATTATATATTATCAATTATATCGTTATGATTTCGTTGTTATAAATTTATTCACATTAAAATTATTAAAGGATTAGAAATAATATAATTAAAGATTCGTTAATTCAAGAAGACAAAAAATGAATCCAAAATGCTAGATAAAGTAAGTCGAATAGATTTCAGAACAAGGAAATTTAGGATTGATTCTATAAAAACTGGATTATCATTCACTTTAATCATAATAATGATTAAAAGTATAATATTCTTTTTGAAGTATTAAATGATCCAGAGGACTTACCGATTCGTCAATAATATCAGAAGGTAGAATCTATTTATAAAATAAATTTAAATGAATGAGAGAGAAAAAATGATTTAAAACTTTTAAATAATTTAAATAATGCAAAACCGGTGATAAAAAAATGTTTTAAAAGAGGAATTAATAATCTAACAAAAAACTACTTCGATCAGTGGTGATGAATTGATCATGTCAGCTCCAATGAAAAATACATAATAAATGTCGTTGATGAGAAAGATGGATGAACCTTAGGTTGGGTATCAGGAAAATGGTAAAAGGTCTTTTACGAGAATAAAATCATTAATGATTGAAAGAGTTACTCGAAGATTAATTAAATGAAAATAAGGGAAAGAGAATGTTTATTATTATTATTATTATTATTATTATTAATTATTTTAGTTATGGAGGAAAGCTATGGTAGCGTATGTACAAGAAGGCAAGCGCATTCCACATCGTAGTGAAATAGATCTCAACTAATACCTCTAATATCTCTAATAAAATTTAGTATTGGTTATGGCTATAACTAGTATTATTTATTAACAAACCCATTTGGGATCATGAAATTAAACTACAGAATAGATAATTTCAATACTTCAAATACTTATTTTTTTTAAAAAAAAAAAAAAAATCCAACGGAGTCTCGCTCCAATAAACTTTTATTAATAAATTAGGTGTAAATTTTAAAGATACATATAATTTATTTTACATTTATTGAAACTGACTAAAAACTTAAAATACTTCAGCTCTTGGTTTTTGTTATTGGATAGGGAGTACAAATATCTTTATTTCATTTTAGGATTTAAAAAAGATAAAAAAAAATGGAAGGATGATTTATCCAGAACTATGATATAAGATTATATCCAGATGAAATTAATACAAGCCTTTGATCACTTTGTTTATTGGTAAATTTATTTTATTATTTTTTTCATTTTAATCAAGTTTTAATTTAGTTAATAAATGAATTAAGATTTCGAATCAAGATTTTTAATAATTTCTATTAAATTCTTTGATTAAGTTTCGATTATGTTTAATCACAAACAAATATGCGATCTTACTGTTATGTAAATCCACTATATCTTCTTGATCGTCGGTTCCTCGTTTATAGAATTCTAAGTTAGCATTCTTATTTCAAGAATACTTAAGTTTTAAGTTTACCTTCAGTGATAGTGATAAATTTGGTGAAACATATCATTTGGCTGAATTAAATAAGTATATAAACTAACCAATTAACATGACTTTAACATAGATTTTAACTTGATTATTATCCTCTAACCAATATTAAATAAATCAATCTTACAGAATTACTAATGTATTCAACATTGACGAGGCCCATGAAATTTAATAATAAATAACATTACTAATTAATTAATAAATTAATTCAAATAATAGAATTTATATAATTAATAAAAATTAAATAAATTTATGGTTTCATATTCATTAAATCCTGATAGGGCTGTCCAAGCAATTTTCCAAGATGATACTTTTTTCTACTCTTTTCTATTTTTGCTGATATTACTGTTGTAGCGTTAAATAGTATAATCTACTTTGTCTATATTATTATTGCGAGCATGAATTATATATTTATATTTACGTATATCAATTCATTAGTTGATTTCCACCTCAAGTAACCTTAACTGTAATTTTATAAAAAAAAAAATAGAAACAAAGAACGTTCTATTGTTAAAAAAAAACTGAATAAGTGTATAAAATTTTTTTTTAATTATTATAAAAAGAACTTGTCCCCTTTTTTACGGGATTTTATTATTATTATTTAGACAGAGGAGATACTCTGTTCTCATTTTTTTAGGAGTGAGATTCTCCAACAGTATATGGTACACTGATCCTTAAATATAATTGGAATTGAAGATTTACAGTTATTATGGGATTCAGATCCAATGTATATACTTGCCATGTGTTTTATCATATGATTTACATACTTCTCTCCTGTTTTATTTTATATAGAGATATATAAATCTTTTGCTACGTCTGAAACAATTTAATTCATATAATGAATATTAATAAATTGTTAGTATTTTTAACAATAATTTATCAAATAATCATTCTTATTATTTAATAAATAGAAATTTAATTAATTATTTACCAATTATCTAACAATTCAAAAATATATTATTATTCAATTATTTTATATAATATACGATGAACAGAAAAAATTTTGCACCCAATCAATATATAACTCCTCTTTTGCAATCTTAAATATTTTCAAATTGTGAAATTTTTTCATGGAACATTAAAGGAATAATCCTTATTAACTCAAGGTACATTTTTCTACAATTTTTACTTATAACAAAAACCTGAAATGAATAATAATAATTGCGTCTCATAATTTTTACAAATTTAACTAAAATAGACCAATTATATATAGACACGCTAAAAAACGACAACCTAATTCAAAGAAACAAATACACAATATATCTTCAAATAAATGCCAGATATGAAAAATAATGATAAAACAAATGTAGTCGGAAGAGGTGGAAGAGAAAAAAATAGAGGTGGTAGAAGAAATATAGGTGGCAGAAGTGGTAGAGGTGGTGGAGGTGTATTGGTAGTAAAAGAAAAAGGAAAGAGGAGACAAGAGGAAATCGAAGAAACATTCTCTGAAAATGATGAAGTCAATAAGAAAGAAGAAATTTCATCCCAATCATCCTATTCATCCGATGAAATGGATGATTGGGAAAAAGATTGAAAAGTGAATAATTAGAAAAGTTAGGATGGTAAATGAAGGGAAAGAATCGGAGGCAAAATTAGAAGAATTAGTAGGATCTTGAAAGAGTGTTAAAAGGATACGAAGAGGAGATGGAGAAGGAGTTAAGTGAAGCAACCGCAAATT